AGATCTTAGACAGACGGGACCAGCAGGGATCGGGGCCGATACAAGTTGAGTCCGACGGGGGTGGCAAAACACAAATAAAATAAAAACTCACGACACCAAACAAAATTGCCGATAAAAAGGGTAACAACCTTTTATATCTTAAAGTCCGTTACATAAAAACAAAATTGTTCTCAATTCCCGACCCGCTCTGTGGACTATGGCACCAAGCTTCTATCACACAATAGGAAAATGTCGAATTACCTACTTTCTAGAATCATGTATGTATGTCGGAGTGTGGTTCAGTTCGACACTGGGGCTAATTTCTATCGATCATTCGCAGTTGATTCTTCTCTCCGACTTGAGTTGTATTTCTTCTTCTTCTTCTGTTTAGACTGGTAGATTTCTTGTTTCAACCCAGTGGAAGATTTCTTGCTTCGATTCAGTGGAAGATTTCTTGCTTCGATTCAGTGGAAGATTTCTTGGTGGAAGATTTCTTGCTTCAATTCGGTGGAAGATTTCTTGTCTTCAACTTGGGCTGGAAGGATTTCTTGTTTCAATTCGGTGGAAGATTTCTTGTCTTCAACTTGGGCTGGAAGGATTTCTTGTTTCAATTCGGTGGAAGATTTCTTGTCTTCAACTTGGGCTGGAAGGATTTCTTGTTTCAATTCGGTGGAAGATTTCTTGTCTTCAACTTGGGCTGGAAGGATTTCTTGTTTCGAGGATTCTTCTGTCGTCCGAGGGTGAACTGCAACTCACGCCCAACCTAACTCCAACTTCAACTCAACTTCAGCTCCAACTGATTTCTGCCGACTGGGGTCCTGCTTATATTGACGCCGCAACAAACCGGGTGGGTCGGTCGGCGTCAGGGGTTTCTCGATAATTCAAAAGCCGTATTAATTTTGACTTTCCATTATCGTTATTGTTTTCACCCCTACTTTCTCACAGTGCTCTTGGGGGCGGCGCATATCTATTTCTCTTAGTCTCTCTCATGTCAGGTGATCGCTCTCAACCAATCGTTCCCGATCGAACCTTTCTTTCTCTTCTTTTCCGCAGCCCACGTGACCGCCTCGTCCAACAGTTATTGATCGAGGTTTTCTTTCCTTCTTCTTCCGCGGTCACGTGATTGTATTCGACCAATTGTTATTGACCGAACACCCTCTCCTTTTGTTGGCGGGTGGGTTACATCGTGCTGGTTTTAAAAAAAACAAAATCCGATTTCGCACCTTTTGCACGTACGCAAAATGACAATCCTTGCCCTCTCTCACCTGGACTTTGTCAAACAGCCCGCTGCTAATTAGTCTTGACTTTTAGAAAGGATCTTTTCCGCCTTCCTGGCGCCCTCCGTGGTCCAAAAACAATTGCTCTTCTTTTTTTTACCTCTTTGTTTTTCCTGATAGCCGAGAATCTTAATTATCTAGGTCGAAATATCTCTACTTTCTTAACGTGGGTGTCCAATTCTTAACAGGTCAATTCCGTATATCGTTTTCACCAGTCACTTCCCCAACCCAAAGACACTTTCTCTCTGACTAAAGTAAAATTCATTTCTATTATTCTAATTTAAAAGTTACCTTTCGTTATTTTGATAAGAATTCTTCTACGAAAATGTCGGTCAGCGCTCGCGACCGATATCTCCAATTCTATTCTTTCAACAAAAATTAAGGTCAGTCAGAGGCTCTGACCGACATCTGGTCCACACCCAGCGGCCTGTTTTGATATCATGTCTTTTCCTTTCTTTCCCCTTTTGTTATTATCTTTCCTTTCTTCCTTTTTCCTTTCTTTCTTTTTTCCTTGCTTTAGGATCGTTTAGTACATTCTTAGTGAATTATTTTCAACCCAGTTATTTTCCGTTTTAAAGAAAAAAAATTAACAACCTGTTTAATAAACTGAATAAGGAAAAATTAACTCATATTTCTATGAATATTTCCAATAAATGCAAGGTGCCATAATTATCTATTTTTAAATAAAAAAGCATAAAACTAAAGTAAATGAAATATAATTAAGTTATTTTTATATAAAAAAAGCATGAATTTCAAGAAAATGATGAGCGTTTATCTATTTTCATATGAAAAAGCATCATCCTGAATAAAATGTAACTAATTAATGTATATTTATATAAAAATATAAACCTGAAAAATGTTTAACATTTATGCATATTTATATAAGAAAGCATAATTTTTAAGAAACTGTTGAACATGTGTCTTTTTAATATTAATAATCATAAACCTGTTGGAAATGTAACTAATTTTAGGTTTTTTCTATATGAATACATAAATGTTTAAAAAATGTAGATTATTTCTTAAATTTTATATAAAACTAGCAGCAGAACTCGGCGTTGCCCGGGGATGTAACAGTAAGAGATAGATCAAGTATCGACCATCATAAAGACTGAAAATAAAATTGAGAAAGATTATTGTTTAAGGTTGACGGACACGCATGTCTTGATTAGTTTTTTTTTTTGTTTTGTTTTGTTTTTTGTTTTTGTTTTTTTTACGAATTAGTCAAACCCAAACTAAAAAAAAAAACATTGTTTTCAATCGTTATGAGTCTATCGATTGAATAGAATTTTATTATAAACAACTGTCTTGTAAATGGAAGTTTTAAAGCATTCTGAATGTAAAAATAAAGAAAAAAGTGTGCAAGACAATAAGAAACCCTACCTGCCCCCCCCCAAAGTGAAGTTTTGTTGAAATCGGTTGAAAAATGTAGGAAATCCGATCCCATATATAAACGAACACACACATACACACAAACAACCTGGGTTTTATAATAAGTATAACTCGATATGAGTTGTCCCCCTTTCATTCCGCGAGAGCGATGCCTCTTAATCGTGTTTTCAAATTGATTTCGTGCAAAAACAATTGTGTTTTTCCAATTTTTGGCGCTGTCAGAACCACCACAAGGTAATTTTACGTAGTCATGTGAAGTTTTGTTGAAATTGGTTGAAAAATGTAGGAAATCCGATCCAATATATAAACGTACAGACACACACACACAACCTGGGTTTTATAATAAGTACGATATAACCATTTAGGGTATTTTTCTTCAGATTTATGCTTTTTATATAAATATAGAATAAATGATCAACATCGTAAGATTTATGCTTTTTACATAAAGAACTAAATTAGTTATATTTACAACAGATTTATGTTGTTTATATGGAAATACCTAAACTAAAATTCTTCAAATTTATTCTTTTTTATTTGAAAATAGACAAATGTCCATCTTTTTCTTAAGAGTAAGTAATTTAGTTATTTCATATAAAAAAAAGCATAATTATTAAGAAAATGATGATTATTTCATGTATTATTATGTATAAAAACATAAATCTTAAGAAAATGTATGTACTTTATCCGTTTTTATATGAACAAGCATAAATCTTTAGAATGTGAAAATAGATATATGATTTTCTAAAGATCATTGCTTTTGTATAGAAAATAGATATATTTTTCTGAAGATTATTGCATTCGTATAAAAAAATGCATAAAGTTGTGTCATTTTTCATATTATATGTGTTGTTCTTGTCCTAAGTATTATCGTTCATTACCGACCTTCGTGTGATTATTCTATTCAGTAACCTTTCCTGGGTTACAACAATATAATAAATAGAAATCTTTTTTCTAGATGTTTCACATATTTTTAAATACAGTGTAACCCGGATATAAGAAACCCGGATATAAGAGAAACCCGGATATAAGAGAGATTTTCTCTGGTCCCAAATTAGAGCCTGTGTTAATGTATATAAAATAGACCAAACCCGGATATAAGAGAAACCGGATATAAGAGACTTCTTCTCCGGTCCCGACAACTCTCTTATATCCGGGTTACACTGTATAAAAACATGAATCAGAAGAGAATGTAAACGATTAAAAGCATAAATCTGATGAAAATTTAGGGTTTTTCATATATTTAAGCTAAATCATTAATACGTAGAAAATGTATCTGATTTTCACATTTCTAAATATATCTCTTCCTACTTCTTGGCTCCCTGTCAAATCTGATAATCAAAAATTTAAATGTAATGTCAATCGTTATCTTCTGCCTTCGTAATTCCAGTTGTTTTATTTTGCTGTATTTATGTTATACCTGACGTACCTATTCTATTATTAATAGACTCTCCAACACATAATAAGTAGTAGTAGTAGTAGTAGCGGTCGACAGTTGGGCTCAGTGGTGTTGAGCGAGTCAGTCGATATCGGACATTGAAGTATCAACCATCACAACTAGATTGCTGCGTCAATTAACTCTTATTTCAAGTTCCTAACGTTTTGTACGTCGAACCTAATTTAGGACGACTTATTGAAATACAAGCCTCCGCTGTGAAAACTACTCTACAACACAATTTATTATATTCTCATGTTCCGTCCATGGTATTGCTCAGTATCATTCTGTAGAATAATATCTCCGTTGCCACAACTCTCCTGTTGTCTATGCGGAAACTGTCCAGTATTCACTGGTACGAGAATTTTCATTTCATACAAGTTGAGCCTTATTTTCTTTGCTTCTAACGAAATAGAGACATCAGAATGTCTACATTATTAACATTTCTTATATTCTTTTCTTCAACAAATTTGTCTCCTCGAAATTATATGTTATTAATAGTGTTTAAGCTTCATACGACGATCAGGAAACAAATAATTTGCTAATAAGAAACGGTTTCTTCTAGTCTTGCTTTTGTTTGCCCGCTATCATCTAGATACCAGAGTTTATTTTTCCAGATATTCATAAAAATGTTATTTTTGAAATGAGAAAGAAGAAAAAAAAAGTACTTAGCGAATTGCAAAGACGGATGCTATTAAAAAAGAAATGGATCAAGGCTAAAAACGTCAACGAAAATTAAAAGCAACCAGAATCCTTCATTCGGGCCGCTTTAATATAAAGACTCATGAAAAATAAATTTTGTTCGAATATCAGTAGCATACGATCGAAATATATATTCTTTAAAATGCAAATTATATTCATAATATTTAGAAGTGCAAATCTAGATTCTTAAATGAAAGCTGTTTTCGCTTCTTTTTTAGGCTCACGGTCATATCACGTTGAAACTGCGGTTCTCGAACGATCACCGAAGTTAAGCAACTTAGATCCTAGGCAGTACCTATATGAGTGACTGTTTGGGAATATCAGGTGCTGTAAGATTGGATGTGCGGATGGTGTAATGGATAATGGTTCCGAATAGGAAAATGAAGAGCCGAGTTCCAATTCCAGTTAGGTTCCTTTTATGTTCATTTACTTTCAAATACTCTTGGGAAAGGTATAAATCTACCTGTTTTCCTTCCAATTATGGGTTAATTACTCGGACTTGAATCAGTAAATCATTATTATCTCCAACAAGTTCTTCCAATTTAAAAATATTTTCTGGATTAAAATATTTTTACATGGAAAGGTTGATAATCAGTAAAAAAAAACCCAAAAAACAAAAAAAAAAAACAAACAAACAAATCAATAAATATTTTTTGTTTTTTTTCCCTTGTATTTTTCTTTGCTACATTTATTAATTTGCTTATGTCTCTATACAGTCAATCATTTAAGTGCCATACGTAATGCCCGCTTGGACGATCATGTCTCATTCGATTCATGGCGGATTAGGAAGAAAATTTTTCCACAGTAGGTTGCCGTTTCTTTCTGCGGTAGACTGGTAGCCAACCAAGTCTATAGGACCCAGTCTCTCCTGCTATTCAACCCATATCTGAGGGGAGAAGAGATGGATACATACCTTTATCAAGGGTATTTGCGCGTAGGTGAATGTAATTGTTTTCTTATAACCGTGGCTTAGATATGGCACAAGGCCGAAACTATGGGACACCAAGTGAGGATCGAACTCACTATTCAGTCCGAATTGATCTAGCGAGACAAGCTTGCTAACCATCACCAGGTCGAAGTGCACAAAATGATTTTCTAAGCGTTGCTTAGATGTGGCACAAGGCCGAAAATGTTGCGTAAATTAATGTAATGGACCCGACTAGAATTGAAACGTGACTCTCTATACACTTAGTTGAATCACTGTGAGTCAAGGGAAATAACTTCAAAAAGAAGTTATCTCCCTTGTTTAATAAATGCATTCCTAATATGAAGTCGTAAAAATCTCTATCTATAAAATGCAGGATGTGTGTGTGTGTGTAACGAATGCACGGCCGCAATTTTCAACGGGTTCGCACCAAAATTTACATGCACATGCTCCAAGTTAGCGGGAAGGTCAACACCGACTTTACATTTCACAACTCCCATCAATAGTGGAAATCGATTTTTTCATGCTTCAACAGCAGTTTTCATGTAGTTTGCGGCCATTTTTTACTGGCCAGAGTGAGAGGCAATAGCTGACTGCCACGAATAGGCAGGAAGATTCTATTGGCCAGCGTGTGAGCCAACAGCTGACTGACACGAATGTTAAGTAGCATGCAAAAAAAATCGATAGCTGCATTCGTCACAAGTGGGAAAAATTTAAATCTGCATAGCACTTTACTCCAATTGGCTCATTCGCTTGCTTAAACTCAACGTTGATTCTGATTCCGCAGAACTGGGTTGGGTGTGAAAAAGTATTTGTTGTTAACATTCTTTTTTCATTTGGTTTTTCGAGTTACGAGTCCCTTTTTTAAAGCTGATCGTTTTGTGTTCATTTTGTTTAGTTCTTTTTTCGTCACAGATTTAATGTTTAGTATAGAGCTTAGAAAAAATTCGCAGTGTGAGATAGGCAAGAAGTAAGTCATGTAGCAACATCATCACGGAAAAGGGCACTCCTTTAAAGGCAAGGAAGGGCAAAAATATTTTAAGTCAAGTGATAGCGATTGCTGTATGAGTCGTACGATTTTTTAATCAAGCCCGGACAACGCCGGGCCATGCTGCTAGTTTAAATATATAATGTATATCTTTAGAACTGAAAATCATACTGATTACAAACGTGTGTTTCGCGGAACCACTTCTAGCCACCTTCTTGTATCGATTCTGACTGTTTTTGATATCAATAGTAGTCTCTCTTCCGTCATTTACCTCTCACGTCATTTACCCTAGTTGTTTTCTACTTCCCTACTCGAGTATGAATCGAGTCGTATCATTCATTCACATTTGAAAAATAACTTTAGAGTGCAAATAGTGGTGAAAATTTAGAAGCGTTTGCAATCATGTAGATATCGAATATTTTATTTCTGAGGTGTTGGCATATGCTTTATCAGAAACAGCAAATTCAATTCACCTATATACCTGAGTTTGTTAACTTTTTCTAAAAGTTTAATTGAGGTGTTCGTTTTCAGATATAAATTCCGCTAACTGAGATATTCACTACACTATGTCTGAACATTCAGCCCTCAACTGGATGCAATAATCATAGAAAGAGATTATATCGAAAAAAATAAAATAAAATAAAATAAAATTGCCCGTCATTAAGAAAATCCCCAAATTAAACAAATAAAGTACAGACAAAAAAGTCGTTTTCTAAGGAATTATCAAACAATTCATTTTCAAAATACTCATCTCTTTCAAATATTTTTTTTTACGATAAATATCTTTCACTTCTGAATATCATTATTAAAAATGCATGTAAATTAATTTTCACTTACACAAGTTTAGATAAAGACCAATGAAAAGACCTATGTTAAGGATTTTTTTTTTCTCTATATCTCAGACCATTTTGGTAACCGGTATATCTAAATCTAAATTGACCAGTGTCTGAGTACTTTCGGCTTTCAAAGAACACATCGGTTGGTTGGTTAAGCACGACATTATAGCACCGGTTAACCTGCCATTTATCTAATAATAGTTTAATTAAATCACATGTCACTAACCAACACAACAAAAAAAGAACAAGAAATTCAACAAATATTTACTAATATCACAAAAAACTATACAGAGCGACTACAAATGGTAGAAATATTAAGCATAAAAGCAAACAACCGTACATCAATAACATTGGGGAACAACCCACTAAATATATTTCACCCAACTAAAAAAAAAAAAGCTATACCATAACACGACTTGTCACGTGAAGATACGATATCTGAAAATGATGAAACTGACAAAAAACGAATCTCATTAATAATAACATGAAAACCGAAAGTACTGAAGCACTGGACAATTTATACTTAAATATGTACCAGGAAACCAGGAAAATCTTCAGGATTATAAAAAAAAAATAAAGAAAAAATATTCGTGGGTCTTCAACCGAACTTGTATAAATTAAAAATTGTACGCTAAATACACCCAATAAATATATTTTGTGTATGTGTCATCGCCTAATTCGTGAATACATGATCGCCTCTTGTTTCAGTCTAGCTCAATAGTTGAGTTTTTCTTTCAAGACCTTGTAAAAAGAGTTTCACAATCAAATAATAAAAAACTGTACAAAGATAGAAATAAACAATAAAGGGAAATTATGTGAATGATATAAAATGTTATATAACGTAATTATATAATCAGTAATTGATAATATATTACTAAGTGAATGAATATTAAAGTTTTGGCGTGTAATATATAGGTAGAGTCTGGGAGTGTAAATATATGCACAGTTTCTGCAAGGATAGGTTCACATAAAGCAAAATGAATGTAAATGATTATCTATGTGTGTGTATATATATATATATATATATATATATATATATATATATATATATATATATATATGCATGTGCTCTTAGTAATCATTAAGAGTAAGCGTTAAAAGAATGAGCGGAAGTATATATCACACATTAGGAATTACTTTTCTGCTGACTTCGTGTGTGTGCGTTCGTATATGTGTGAGAAGATTTTTACGTCGAACGTGTTAGCAGCGTCTTGTCTCCTCTGACAAGAAAAAATCGGCCCTTTTTAAGCATTTTCATTCCATTTTCAGTGTTTTTATTCCGGCGGGAAACGCTCTGATTGGTTGTAAAAGTACTTTCAATCTGAACTCTTAATTCCCTCATTAAAATTACAATTCAAATTACCTACACAAACAGAATAAATCTAAATGCTATTGTCCTAATTTAAACCCTTTTTTTTTTCTACTTTTTCATTTTACCATGAACTCCTACATAAAATCCAAAGCGAGAATCAGCAATATTGATCTGGCGGGTCGGCTTGTGTCACTTTCCCATCGCCACAAGGTTGTCTCTCTGTGCCTTTTCTATAAATAATTTCACGGTAATTGTTCGGATGAACTCTTCGCTATGGTACCGAGACATTTTTTTTCATTTAAGCGCAGTACTAGATTGGCGGTAAGGTCTCATCAATTTACAGTTTAGATGGATAAATGTAACCGTAAGTTCTATGTTAACAGTTTCTTTTCTCGCACTTCTCAATTGTAGAACTCACTTCTGGCTCCATGTTTTCCAGCCAACTTTTAACCCGAAAAATTTAAATGTAATGTCAATCGCTATTTACTGTACTCCTGATTACCCTTTTCTCTTCCTGCTCATTATTAACGTTTCTGTTCCTAATTCTTCCACATCCTGTAACCCCTTGTGTCTTAGTGGCTCTACTGACTTGTACGGGGTGATACTGATTAAAAACAAAACAAAAAGAAAAACTTGTTGACATTCTTTTCATGCCACGTCCCTTCTGGATGTAAGTAATCAGGACTCTCCAAGGATTCCTTTTCTTTATTATCAGTGAATTGTCATAGGAAAAGTAATGGAGTGTTTTTTTGTTTGTTTGTTTTGTTTTTTTTTTGTTGTTTTTTTGTTTTGTTTTTTGTTTGTATTTTGGGGGTTTTTTTTCCATTACTTTCTCCACAGCTTTAAGTGAATAGTCCTTATCCTATACTGATGGCCACCTAAGGTTAAAGAGTACAATCTATAATTCTATTTAATCCATATTTGGGGGAGAAGAAATGGAAAGTGCAAAAGTGACCATAACAGAACTTGATGTAGGCTTGCCAATTCTAGTTCCCCGTGATGATATCATGTTTGCATTTTGACCCAAACACCTGTTAATAGAAGTTCGATATAATTCACTCTATTTGTAATGAAAGAAGCACAGATAACATGGGTTATGCCATTGTGGACACACCGTAGACATTTGTTATTAAATATGTCATTTCCATTGTATGTAAATTTAACTTTAATTTGTTACTTTTTACAAAATAAAAACTAGAGAATGATTTGCAATCATCTATACTTGGAATCTGAAGGAACGGCAGCCGTTCCATGATAAAAAAAATAGGAGGA